GTGATGACCTAAGGTAAGTTAAATTGCCAAATATCGTGACTCGTCCAAATACCGTGATTCTCGTATTATCTCGCCAATAATAAAAATATTGCTTTTAAAAATAATAGGCCTACAGTTGAACCTCGTTTGTACGAACCTCAATAAAATGAATTTCTCGATAAGACAAATTTTTTTTAAATCCCCTTGACACTTTCATATAGGCCAATGCTAAAAACACCTCTAGGCCTATACAACGTAGTAATTAAGTTAAAAACCTCCATAAGACGAATTTGTTTGTGACATGGGCTAGGACTGATTACCCTCTATACAACGAATATTCTTAGCACAAAACCTCTACAAGACGAACGTGACCTCTATAAGACAAATTTATCATAATCTTAACCTCCATAGTATGTACGGTACGTAGTTTTCAAAACAAATAGATGCTTGTCTCAACATGAAACTCCCTCACCCATCCCTCCTCTTTCCTCAGTCATTGTTTGGAAAAACATTGGAGCGAGGAGAAACCTCTATAAGAAGAACAACAGCAGCATTAAACTTTGATAAAACGACCCTCTTTATTAAGAATACTTCAATAGTGCACAATTTTCCCGTACCCCTTGAAATTTGTTTTGTACTTAGAGGTTCAACTGTATAATAAAAAGGGCAGTTTACCTTATACACCCAGTGTTATTCCTCTACATAAGCCTAAGTTTGTATGACTTACAAATTAGCAACTCACACTGTGAGGTAAGGTTTATGTAGCCTACTGATAGCCAAGATAGGGTTCAAATGCGACATATGAGCCTAAGTCCGTAAGTTATGACTATTACAAGTTAACATCTCACCTCACACTGTGAGGTTAAGTTTATGTACTGATAGCCAAGATAGGGTTCAAATGCGACCTAGGCCTAAAGAATAACACTACTTATGGTCAGGTTCATATTATGAACCAGGCAACAAAAAATCAGAGTAGGCCTACACAAGTCGTTTTAAGTATCAGCCGTCCAATTTTGACCCATTGCAGATTAGGCATAATACCTACCTTACATCTAGGCCTATAAATTTGAAATCAAATAAGTTAACTTACCCTAAGCTAAACCCAATCTAACTTAAGTTTTCATTGAGATCCTCAAAAAACAACATTGGCCTAGGCCTATTACAAAATGAAAAAGATTGAAGGTGATAAGACTAATCTGGATGATCAACTTACTGGAAGCTTTACAAACTACTAATAGCCTAATCAATAATTTTGTTTAAAAAAATAAACAGAAATAAATAGGCCTAACTTAAGTTAAAAGTGAATCCAATTCTAAAGTATTATCACTTTAAACTTTTTTTGACGAAATCTATCCAGTCATTACTGGTCAGCGGTGGATGTATAAAGGTATCAAACTACCTATATGATATAGGCTAAGTTAGGCTATAAACCAACTAATTAATTACTTATTTATTACTAATTAATTATTAGTTATCTATACAAAAAAATCCTTTATCAACCTTTTACGTAAGTTACTTAAGATAAGTTTAGGTTATGTTTACACTTTACTTTAACTTATACTTGAATGTGGCTATCTTTACCAGTACATCATATTGTCCATTTAATCAGAAGTGCATCATCAAATCAGAACTATAAATTAGATTAGATCAATAAAGTACAAGTTAACACTAACATAACTTAGGCCTAATAAAAAACACAGTTTAACGTATAATTATTAATTTATTTATTTACCTAAGGTAGTCTGGCGTCCATTTTCATTGTCATACTGATGGATGAGTCGACTGTCGACTGTCGAGTGCTGTCAGTGTCGGTGTCCCGTTGTAGTTTCGTTTCCGTTCTATTAGTTGTCGTAATAAGTCACTCAAGAGTTAAAACTTCAATGTTCCAGTCCCAATCCCAATTAATTCCTGGTTCAAATTAATCAACTCTGACAGTCGACACTGATCAAGAAGCAAGAAAGAAACCCAACCACGTCTGCCATTCAGTCTCAGTGTATCCACCACACGACCAAAAAAATAATCCCGCCTGCTGGTTCGAGAAATCCCGTTTAATCCCGCTTCCGGATGATGGAGAAACCCGTTTTATCCCGTATGGTATTTTTCGTTTAAATTTATGTTTGACGAATCATGTTTAAATAGTTGTTTAAACATCGATATTATCTTTTGCTACAGGAGTTTACCAATTGGAGTTCGTTTTCCCTAAAAATAAGTAGAAACAATTAAAAACAGACGTCATAGCTGAAAAATCCGTTTTATCCCGCATCCAATTTAAATCCCGCTCGTGGTCTAAAAGTCCCGTTTTCGGGATAATAATCTGAGTCACTGCCGCCATTTCGTTTTCTGTTGGTTCTTGGTTCTAAAACCGACTGACGGAACAAATAAAACTGACCGAGTGAAGTGAACGGGTGTTCACTAATTCAACGACGGAGCCAAAGAGTCGATTGTCGAATCAAATCAACTGCTCCATAATAATCCGCTTGCAAAACTACCGGTGCGATGGCCGATGATATAAATTCAAATATCGAATCCCAACTCGGATCTATTTCCAAAAAATTCGAATATCGAATCCGAACCCGGATCTCTTACCGGTAAATTCGAATATCGATTCCGAATCCGAATCCAATTAGAAACAGTAGATTCGTTCTCGAATCCGAATCGAATCTCTAAAAAGATTCGGATTCGATTCGTTTTTCGAACTATTCGCACAGCCCTGAATGTGACAAATACCAATCAATGCTATTTAAGTTCAATGGCACATACAGGATTGGTAATACTGATAGTATAAACATTATCAAGTACGGAAACCTAACATTTACGTAGATAAATTGTACGATTCTAAAAGAAATTTCTACAAGGGCTGTATGTAGATTTTTTTTGTCATAGGACGCTAGGCACGAGCCCAGGATTGTTTTTCACATTACTTCAGGCTAGACCTAGCGGTTGCGGCATTATCACTTAGATAAAATACATTGGTGATTTGGCGGGATTTGAACGCAGAACCTCAGGAACCGAAGTCCCGTGCTCTAACCACTACACCAGCTCGGTTCCCCAACAAGGGCTGTATGTAGATTAAGGTATCCAACTGTAGAACCTTGATAACAAGACTCTCATAGGGATTGTAAAATAAGACTTGTTATCAGGGTTGACTTCTTATCGAGGTTTGTAATAACATGTGATTAGGGGTAAAATAATTTTTTTGGGGATTTGAAAATGACACTTGTTATCAAGGGCGACTTGTTATCGAGGGTCTTCCTATCAAAGTTCCACTAGTCGAGGATAAACTAGTAAGTTCAAATCTGACACATTCGTCATGTTCTTTGCTTCCCCCACTACTACTCTAGCTAGTACCACCTACATGCATTGGTTAGCATTGATCTGTGATAACCAATAAAAATTTGAAGGAAAATAGACTCACAAGCTAAATTTAAAATGTGTTTTAAATGTGTATGGCTTTTTGCAAACTTTCCATGGAACTTATGCGCACTTCTTTACACATATACACGTTCCTCCATTTAAATCCGCCATCTAGAAACACATAACAATAGAGTTTACCCTCTTCTTAAAGAAACACAATTTATACTTAGCAGCATAGTTATTAGCTACTATGACGAGACTAATTGCCTCGTGGAGGTGAGACCGGCTAGAATGATAGTGGTTTAAGTTGACACGCTGGTGTCAGATTTGAACTAGCTCATAGTGATGTGTCATAACCGAATCTCAAACCTTAAAAACATCAAAACTTTGGATATTTTTCGGTTTAATGATTCAATCGGAGAGATTCAAGATTCAAAAGTTTATCGATAGGAAGTTTATCTATAGTTTATTTATAGGTTTATCATACAGCAGGTTTTGCCCTTGAACCTGCTGAAATTTTAGGTGTCATTATCACCGATTAAAATTAAGCTGGCCGCAATAGAGCAAACAGATTACCACTAACATAGATGAAAATTAGTAGAGTAGACCCTCCATAATCCGGCGTCTTTTGACGGGTGTGGTCTTGTGCGATTGCGGCGAAATCATGAACATCTGCCATGGTCGTGTGGACGTTATCGTCGTCTTAAGCGATTGCGGCCTAATTCTGCTCATCTCCCGCAGCCATGTAGACAACATCATCTACTCCCGCGGTCACAGAAACTTCATCGACTTCTTTTGCAATCACGGCAAAATCATGATCATCTTCCGCAGTCATGTAGACATTATCGTTGTCTTCGCCGATCGCAGCAAATTTCTGATCATCTCCCGTAGCCATGAAGATTAAAACAAAATCTCCCGTGATTACGGAAACATCATCATGCTTGATCGCGGCAATAGCGGTTTCCAATCGGGCTATCTTCGCAGACGAGTTTTGTACATTCTAAGTATTTTTATTGATGTCCTTCCAGTAATCCGGCAGATATAGGACCGTGATACTGTCGGATTACTGGAAGGACATCAATAAAAATACTTAAAATGTACAAAACTCGTCTGCGAAGATAGCCCGATTCTTAATCCGGCAGAATCACGGTCCTATATCTGCCAGATTACTGAGAGTCTACTGTACTTTATATTCTGAACTGCAATTAATATAATAAATAGTAAATATTAATACTGGAACAATGTACAATACAGTTTCAAATCTATATTAATCAAACAAAAACAAATATTACTCACTAAATAATTTGACTGATCTAATATTCATGTTTGAGTAATATAAGTGTCAGGATTTTAATTTATTTTAATAGGATCTGTTGTTTATAAAAAATAAAGTTTTTTAGGTTTAAAATTTTTTAGTCACATGTTGTCCGTTTGCATGGTAAAACTTTTACTATCTGAATTTTATTTGTAGCCTTCACAAGGCAACTAAAAATGTTTTTCGATGTGTTTTGAGATTCAGGATTTGATTTTTATGTTCCGGTTTCGGTTTCGAGATTCAAAATTCCTGGTTGTGAACATCACTACAAGCTCACCTTAGTTTGAGACTTTAAAAACAACCATCGCATTTCACATCAGTAGTAACTACAGGAGAGACTGTATGGAAGTACCTTGTAGGGTGATATGTTTTTCTGCAGAGGCATGAGAGTACCCATGTACCTCTCTAGGGGGATCATGAAGCTCTGGGTGAGTTCTAGGAGATGTCTCCTTAAAAGCGCAGACTGGACCTCCCCAGGACGTTTGGTCTGCACTCCCTTCATGATCTTCTTCAGTATCGTCTTGTCCTTCTGAAGAAACGGCTGATATTGTGTATAAACACCTGGTTTTGTGTCCAGCATTTTCAGGTGGTTTCCTTTCCTTATTTTATGTTTTTGAAAGTTACCTAAAAACAATGATATAAATTATTATATTGTAAATATAACAATTGTAAATTAACTGTAAGACAAATAGAGAAAAGATACAAGATTAGGGAAAGAACTTGGATAGTTTTTTCACGTTATTTGCGACTGTGGTTTTTAATTTATAGGAATTAAACGCTAATTATATGGACAGGGAGTTAACTCCAGTTTTTATTGCTAATCTAATTTATCACGCTCTGTCTATTTTCATTAGACTTCCAATTCTGCGGGGGTAAAATTTTGCCCACGAACAAACTTTGGAGGGCTCATGTTACTACATCATAGTGATGTCAGGTTTGCCCAGGGGGTAAAATTCCAGGCGGATAAAATTCCGAAAACCCACTTGTAGCATGACGACATCAACTTGATTTCCAAGTGAAATGTTGCTGAGACAACCACACTTATCCCTCAGTGTTAGTGTGGCATGCATTTATAATAGAACCTAAGCTTCTGGTTGTTTTGATTTTGTGTGGAAGACCACAAGTGTGACAGTCCAGCTGCCAAAAGTTGTTCGTTTAGCACCACCTTGGAACATTGAAGTGTTTAAGGACTTTTTTCACAAGTTTAAAACTGTTATAAAAATCATTATACCTTTTTACCTTAATGCATATGCATGTTTTACTGCAAATTTTAACTACATTCAAACTTTCAAAGCAATAGTAAAGGTTTACTGGTGCAGTGGTTTCGGTAAGTTTAATGATAGAAATTTGTTATCCCTTCATGTACTACTTCAAAGAGTTCAAAATACATTATTTTATTTTATTCTATACTTTGTAATGTAAGTTAACTAGGGGCCTGGTAAAATGACTCTTAGAATATGAATGCATACATTTACATTTAGATGTTAATTATTGTACTTAAATACAAACGTAATTTTTGGTTATGTTTATTTTAGGTTATGTATCCTAACACACACTCTGAGCTTAAAACAACAGTAATACTTACTTCCATTGAAAGAATCAGGTACTTTGATGATATGAGGCCAATGTTGCAGAGTCTTGGCAAAGAATGGGTTTGTAACCCCCAAGATGATGGGAGGCGGAGCTTGAGTTCTGGTCGTGTACTCTCTGAACTCACTATCATGGATCGTAAAGTATGGACGATAATCAGCGTAGTACATCAACGGTGTTATCATGCTGTAATTTAAAATGGAATAACATAAGTGAAATACTAACAATTGTTTGGAGTTAAAGAATTGCAAGAATTATTTTGAAAATGAAAGTAGATGTAGTGTTCAAGTCTACATCTACTGTTGAATGTTCTTCTGTGTAATCTACTGAATGGAATTTATTGGTACGGAGAGTAGTCTGTGGTCGAAACTGTTGTAAGCTGCTAGGTTTTGATAGTGCGGATGATGGGAATCTGATTGGATAGTCTGATCTGTTCTAGTTGGTTTTCCATATATTTAAAATGTGAAATTATAATTTTGTTTGGTTATTGTTAGGACCAAAAGATTCAGGCTATTGTTGGTTTCCTCTTCTAATGTGAATTTAATATTTTTATGCATGTTACACAAGTAATTGTTTGGCAAAGAGAGTTGCCTGTTATTACCGTTAGATATGGTGTCGTCCACGTATCTATAGTATATTATCTTATCTTTGTACCGATTACCTGAGTTAAACAAATGCTTGTTCTCAATGTGGTTAAGGAATATTTCCGCCAAATTGCTGGATGATGGAGAACCCATTGCTAGCCCATCTTTCTGGTTATAAAAACTATCATCAAATTTAAAATAATTTTGTTTTAATATGATTCTTATAAGTGCTATGAGCTCGTTCATTACTTCCAAGCCTGTTTTTGACCCTGTCAGCGCCCTAGGCAATACTAATAGTAGCGCCCCTTTGCAATAAATAACAGAGTGTCCACCAACCGGGAAAACTGGGAAATCCGTTAATTATGCGTGAGTTTTCTTTAAACCGGGAATTATGCATGAAATTTGTATTTCTACCTGGAATTTTCAATTTACCGCGAACACGCATGACAACAGTGACGTTTCCGTGACCGCGGGAGACGATAATATGTCTACACACGGCCGCAAAGGATGATCAGAATTCTCCGCCATCGCAGAAGATGATGATGATATCTACAGAGTCATGAGTGTTAATCAGAATTTTTTTTTTTTTTTTTTGTCCTAGGACGCTAGGCACGAGCCTGGGATTGTTTTTCACATTACTTCAGGCTAGACCTAGGGGTTGCGGCATTATCACTTAGATAATATCCATTGGTGACTTGGCGGGGATTGAACCCGGGACCTCACGGACCGAAGTCCCGCGCTCTAGCCACTACGCCAGCTCGCTCCCCGGTCCATGGACCATGGACCATATCCACATGACCACGGGAAAGAGCGAAACAACCAGAATTTGGCCGCGATTGCGGAAGACGATGATGATCTCCATACAACTGTGGGATATTATTAACATTTTGCCGCAATCGTGGGAGGCGATTACGATGTTTTCACGACCCCGGGAGACGATTACGATGCCTACAGGACTGCGGAAGATACAATAATGATAAGAGAGGGATGATCAGAATTATGCCGAGACCGTGTAAGACGATGATAATGTCCACATGATCGCGGGAAAAGATCAGAATTTTGCTATTCACAGAAGACGATTGAATTGAATTAAATTGAATTGCCATTCACAGAGGACGATGATCATCACATGGCCACGGAAGATGATTACCATTTTGCCGAAATCGCGGGAGGCGATTACCATGTCCAAACAACCGCAGGGGACAATTTAATTATGTCTTTACGGCCGTGAGTGGTGATCAGAATTTGCCCGCGATCGTGCCAGACGATAATAATGTCCTCACGACCGCGGAATATATTCATATATTGCCGCGATCATGAAAGATGATAATCATATCTACACGGCGGCGGAAAATGAAAAGTCAGAATTTTGCTGCAATCGTGGGAGACGATTACGATGTCTACATGGCCGCGAGGGATAATCAGAAGTTCACCGCAATCACAGACAAATGCAACCACAATTTTTTTTTATTTTCCAGTTTTTTGGCGCCCCCCAAAAAAGCTAATTACCTTGCGCCCTAGGCCCCTACCCTGCCTATTCGATAATCGGCCCTTATTACTCCAAGGGGTAGATTAGTACATTTGTATATAAGTTGACAATGTCAAAAGACGCTAGTTTCATATTACCTTTTATGTTTTTTAATAGCCTGAAGATGACTACTATGCAGGTATAAATGCAGGTATTTACACCAATTTATAGTATTTAAATGCGATCAGGAGGCTAAAATCCAATATAATGAAGGATTGATGATTAGTTTACCTGACAAGAGCTTGGACCATCTGGGCAGAGGTAGCGGGTGAAGACGCCATCACAACTATAGGCTCTGCAGTGAGGACCAGCTCCCATAGCAGATGCATGTGGTACAGGACGGTGGAGAACACGTCAAATGTGTTAACTTCGTATACAGATGGCAGTACAGTAGGCATCTGAGGGGATGATATCAATGTGACATTCCCTCCACTAGGAACTAAACTGGAACTACTCCCTCCCCTTCCACTGTCACACGGCACTTGCACCTGCAAACATTTCATTCTGTGTAAAGGATCATTGAATATTTCTTGTTTTGATGGTCCTATATTAAGATTGGGGGAGTTTTGATATTTTAAAGATAAAATCTACAAACCAAAATAGAAAATTTTCTAGAATGAATGTTTAGTGATGGTATTGTAATTTAATGGTAATGAAATGAAATGAAAAAAATATCTTTATTCATATGGTATACAGTCAAATACAATGAATGGCGTCACTAGGTTTAAATATAAATCAAACTAACCTACAATTCATCGAAACCATAAAGTGTTTTATCAGTTAACAAATGTTTAAGTTTATTTTTAAATTTAGAAATGTTATCAATATTCCTCACCTCAGCTGGGAGTTTGTCCAAAAACCTTTTCCCTGCACAGGTGGTTTTTTGTTAAAGAGCTCTAAATTATGGACACTGACAGCAATTATGATTTTAATTAATGGTAAAATTTAATTTGGCTGTAAATATTATAGTCTATAGTTAATTCATTCTTATACCAACCAAAACTGTTTGGGCCTACAGTGGAACCTCGTCGGCAAGAAACTTGAAAACAAGTATCATTGATAATAAATATAATTTTAAAACAAAATTCAGAAACAATTTCAGACCCTGGTAAAATTTCAAATATGTTTGATGGTTATTTTAAGCAACATGTTTACAGATTTAAATTTAAATTGTAACAATCAAAATGAGATGGCTGATTTGAAAGCTGATTTTATCGACGACTTGTTTGTAAAGCGAAAATTTGAGCTGAAACCAATCACTGAAAGGGAGGTGGAAAAAATCATTCAATCTTTAAAAAATAAACAATTCAGAGGGCATGACAAAATTCCTTTAACATTTTTAGAAATTACAAATTTTTACAGTTTATGGGCAATATATTTAGGAAACAATTCTTATCACAAAAAAATTAATCAGAGGAAGTATTAAATTCATTGCTTTCTTTGTTTGTCCAGCCTCACAAATTAAAATTTGTTTGTAAAAAACCCTTACATACACTGGTAACGTTTTTCTAAAATTGTTCCCTGAATTCATAAAAAAAATTGACCTATCAAAATTCAAGAAAAGTCTAAAAGAATATATAGTAAATCTAGCATTATATTCTTTGGCAGGGCCGGTTCTAGGAATTTTTCAGAGTTAAGCGAACACCCGAATCAGCGCCACTTAGAATTCCCCCCCCCCCCCCAAAACCATGAACATAACTTAACCGTATTTGTGAATTTTTTCCCAATAATTTTGGGAAGAATTTTTTTTTTTTAGTTTAGGTAGAAGAATACTAACTTGCAATAAAAGGCTGTTTATTATTCGCAGAAATGTGACATTTATACACTTTTACTCATCATATAAACTATAGCAAAACCAAGGACACACTAAAAAAACAGGCCGTAATGTAATGTTCGTCAAGCATGACGTCACGATAGAAGACGGCAATGACGCAATGTTTGCCGTTTGTGATCAGCTGCTTGTTTTAATCTTTCCTTGGAAAATAAATAAATAAATACCTACGTCATTCATTGCCGTCTTCTATCGTGACTTCTTTGGGCTGACTGGACTCGCCACCAGATGATTTCTACAAAAGTCTACTCATTGATTTGGCTTTTTTTTCTTCCTCTTCCAAATTCGCCTTACGCTTTCTATGATAAGTGCCAGACGGTTTCTTTTTTTCTGCCATTGTTTTCATAGTTTCGGCTCGCAATATGTTTCATTCATTCATTCAGTTTATACTTTCTTTTTATTTAATGTGCTAATTATAAATTAAACTTAAAACACTCGTAATAATTCGCTTATCAACAATCATGAATCATCAAAACAATGCCAATACGATACCGATACGGTATAGGCCTACGCCCGATTACTAGAAAAATACCGGTATGGATCATAAACATAAACAAATGACGTTATTGGCCAGAAAATAAACATTATTTAACATTGCTTAAATGGAACTGCCAAAACATATGTTATGTTCAATGCTATTAGTATAGGATTCGGGCCAACAACGTCATTTGTTTATGTTTATGATCCATAGGCCTACCGGTATTTTTCTAGTAATAGTAATCGTGGGCCTACGTATACAACTAAAAGAGTGCAATACAACGTAGTGCTCTGCTCTAGGATCAGAGGCAGAAAGGAGTGAAAGAAAGGGGAAGTTTCTTGTTGTGACAAGTGGCGCTGCGCGCTTGCTTATCTCGAGCATGAGTGATTCGTGAAATGAAACCCAGGTGCCGCGCTGGCGCTGACGCTGCCGACTGCCGAGCGTCAGCTCAGTTCAAAATTCAAATCGAAACTGCAAATGGCATTGAGTTGTATTGCTGTACAAATATACAACATTTTCAAGTGCTGTTGGTACAAACAGAATAAATGCCTTTATTGTGGTGCTTTGAATACTTGAGTTCTGAGCAAAAATAAACAAAATTACGTTGTTCACGTAAAAAAAATGTTCCGTTGGCGCCACGGCGCCACTTTTTCGTGGCGCCATATGCGGCCGCGTAGTTCGCGTATGGGTTAAACCGGCCCTGTTCTTTGGATGAGTTTTCTATCTCCCAGAAATAGAAATAGTATTTTTATTTTATGTAATTTGACACTATTCACTGTGCCACCAATGTACATGAGTTATGATGAATAAAGACGTTTGAATATGAATATCATTTTCAAATCCTCTTGAATTTATTTGACTCCTGACCACATGCTAGTGTATTGCAAACCTAGATAAGAAGTCAACCAGATAATAAGTATTTTTTAATAATCCCCATTAGAGTCTTGTTATTAAGGTTCTACTGTACCCATTTAGAAAAGTCAGGATATACAGTAATAGATAAAAGATTATACACAGTGGGCTAACAAATTTCACCTTTCAAATCTTTACTTGAATACATCATAAGGACATTTTTTATTATACATTGTGACTGGTAGATAAATAATATTTGGATTTTTTTTTTGGGTGGGGGGGGGGATTCTAGTAGAGAAAGCACTTTTTAGACCTCGAGCAATGTAATTAAGAATTTTTGTTTGTTTTGCAGTCTAATGTTCAGTACATTTCACCTCGTACTGTACCGGCTCACCCCTTGCTTTGCTGGATACGTTCACGCACATATCTGTAGTCTAAGTGGACGGGCAAATGCAAGGTACAATACTTCATGTTGCACAATATTCTACTCCCTATCTATAAATGTAGAGGCCGCCAACCTCTTAAAAAATAAAAAAAATGTTTTCAGTTAAAGAAGAAGGATTTATTGAAATTCTCCTCATGATAATTATTAATAATGTATGTTAAGAGAATCTATGCACGTTAAAAAATTAAGATGGTGGTTTATTTATTACAATTTACATTTTTATAGCAGATTCCATTTTGTTTGGAAACCTAACGACTGGACCCTTGCTTAAAATGTTTACCATAATGAATTTGATACAAAAATCAATGGATACATTTCGAAACCACACAATATATCTGCTAAATGTGTAATGACATCATTGCAATCATTGCAGGAATAAAGCAATAACGCCAATAACATCTATATAAGTAGGAAACAGCACAAGATGTTTGTGACTTATTTGTTTACTTAGGTATGGACAAAGCATATGTGCATGTGCGTCATTCAAACACAGGTGCACAATTCAATGTGGGATAAGATGGATAAGATCATTTATCTTCCAGAAAGAAAAGGGTATAGCACAAAAGTACCATAGCTAAATAAAATACCCCCGCCGCAGCAAACCTGCAGAATAAGCGAATTTCCATCTACTTGGCTGGAATTCCACAAAATTATTCCATAAAATTGTCAAATTTAATTCCTATTTAAATATCATTAATTATAATGAGTAGGTACTTGGTTTGTTGATACTGGTTGTTTGATACTGGTTTGTTGCTACAGGGAAGACAATAAGGTGTGTTTTTTCATTGATATATTGATAGCTTAGTATGAAGTAAACACATTTTCCAAATTTCATTAAAATATGTCCATAGACAAGCAAGCTATAACGGTTTATTAATTATTCTCCATAACAATAACATGGTAATTTAAAATTAAATGGGAAAACCCCAATTTTACCCGATAAAACCTCCCATGAACCCCCGTTCCCATAGTCTAATCCTGCTGGTTCGCGAACTTGTTCGAATAAATGTAGGTTTACACCAAATTTCATCAAAATCAGATCATTTTTGCTCAAGTTATCGTTGCAAACAGACACATGTATAATATACATGAATGTGAACGGATGGTGATTTGGTCTCTGGAGACCTCAAAACAAAAAAGTAAATCAGTCCCGGGTCCAGGTCTTATCATGAGACCTACGGTAATAGCTTATTCCCTATAAGCTAAATTCGAAAAACAAAAAAATTAAATAAAAACTATAAGTATGGAAGTGATCCCCATAATGAATGTTCATCCGCATGTAGAGAGAGTCTTCATGGTCACTCACTACTTAGAAAAAACACAGGATACGAATTGAAAAAATTAACCTCAACCTAACATAAATACAAATTTACAGATTTGTACATACATCGCTACCAAGATCAAGAAAGAAAACAAAGCTAAATTGAGCTATGGCAAATTAAACATGTGAAACAAATGGGTTCAAATGAGAGGGAATCTGCTGTGTTACTTATGTTTAGTCACCTGCAGTACAGTGCCGAGGATGGGCAAGTTGAGAGTATCACCAGGAGTTGGAGCAGGCCATTGGTCAATGTCATGGCAAGCGGCCTCTACACTCTCACACCCATTGTCAAAGAACTCAGGGGCAATCAGACTGACTAATTCACTGAATAGGTTGATGAATGGAAATCTAGATATTAGTATCACACTCTGAAACCAAACAAATCGGGAAACATTCATTTTTGTTCAAATTTAAACTTGCAGCAAGCATTATTTTGGGTAGTGATATCTCATGAATCCCCCTTTAAGATTTGTCTTGGTGTCCAATAATCACTGTAACTATATCTGAGAACAGATAACCCTAAATTTATAACTATAAATTATCAATTATTGAGATGGGTACGAGTGAGTGTAGAATGGAGTGAGATGATCTTCGTAGCGTTGTTAATTGTTACTGACTATACCAGATTTTCTTTCAATAGTCAGGACCAAGTTATTAAAAGCCCAATGATCAAGGACAGCTGAGTACAGTATCGAACCATCAAAAAGTTACAAACTTTTATTCAGTATCAAACCAGAGACCTTATGATTACCAGGCAAGCACTAACTACTGAGCTACCCAGCCACATCATGTGTACAGTATGTTTGTTAACACAGTAGTTCTAGACTTTTTCAGACATACAGCTACCATTTGCGTCGTCCTGTAATCCAGCTACTAGGAGGTCACGAATTGTGGATATTTATAGGTATGCACTGTGGATGCGATACTCTCTGGTGTGGATTAATGTCCGCAAGAGTGAGTACTACGACTATCCGCACTCCGCAGTACTATCCTGATAATTAGACCAATTTGTTTGTATATACCAAGGCAAAAATGTGGTTCGGATTCCACCATATACTGTAGGTCCCTTAGTTGTCATTAGCTGTATGTAGTGATGTAAAATACCTAGGTAAAACCTAGTGTGAATTTTTAACCTAGTGTAAAATACACTAGGTTAAATTTTCCTGTCTTTCTAAATAATAATTATTACTTTACAAATTATTTTTCTTTGCTTTCAATAAATACCCGGGTATTTTGGGTATTTATGAAATCGATTGAAATTCATTTATATCCACCCCTAAATATGTTATTGTTATTATTACATGATAAATTAGCATATTCTATAACACCTTTTACAGTAACTTTAAGCTTTGCTAGTACCTTTTATTTAATGATTCAGCACTTTTTTTTTAAATATTACATTTAAAGTTTCTAAATAAGCATTTAGTTTCGTGTCTTAAATCGAGTAACATCAGTTAAATTTTAAAAAAACTTGCTAAAAGATAGTATATTAAAAAAGGCTGTAACTATTTCAATTGTTATCATTTTATAAATTTATAACCAATTAAATAACATAAACAAAATTATTTTAATTTATAAATATCCAGGAATTGTTGGGTACCTATTTATGATGCAATAAAAACAGTTGAACTTGCCATAAATAGTTTTATTAACAATACATTATTGCGTAGGCCTATAACATTTTAGAATACTACAAATTCCTAAGGCCTGATTGACATAGGCAGAATACTAAAAGTATTTATAATTAAACATTTCTGTGTTACCGCTTGGTTGGAAACAATAATATATTTGGATAAACCTACTAAAAAAATGTATCTCCTGTTTTTTGGCCTAACTTAATATAATTTTGAAAGATTTATTGTGCTACAGATTCAAATGTTTTGTATCACAAGTTTATGAAATTACTGATTGAATTTTAATTATTTTCTTCTTAAAAGTTGTTAACACATAGGCCACTACTAGGTTAAATTTTCCTGTCTTTCTAAATAATAATTATTACTTTACAAATTATTTTTCTTTGCTTTCAATAAAATAAATTCATCTCTCTACCATAGAAATTAAAAAATCATAAGTAGTCAGGACCAGTGCAACCATGCGACCAAGGGGTATTTATGCCGATTATGCTTTATGCTGAGACCTGGGTATTTATGGCGATAATACCCATAAGTAAAATGCTAGTAGTGACCATATGAAATGTCGTTTAACACATTTTATTATCATTTTACTATCCTTACAGGGTAATAATTGCAAAAAAACAAAAAAACGTCCGCACTAGTGAGTACTACGACTATCCGCAGTACTATCCTAAATAATTAGACCAATTCGTTAATTACGAGGAAAAATGTGGTTCGGATTCCACAATAAACTGTAGGTCCCTTAGTTGCCATTAGCTGTATGGGCTATTAATTAACAGCTGTGTCTAAGGAACATGTCGGCCTTAGTCACTAACAAGACTACAAGATCGCGCCACTCATCCTACACTCATCCTTCACTCATATTTGGGTTAAAATACGCACATAGTGGCGTCCCCATCTTAAATAATTGATAATTGATAATTGATCTCAATCTTTTCTAACTTTAATACAAATTATAAATACCCAGTTTTTGGGTATTTACCCGGGCCTGGGGTAAATACCCGGGTAAATACCCAATTTATATTTACCTACCCACTGGGTATTTACCTGGCCCACATCACTAGCTGTATGGGCTATTAATTAACAGCTGTGTCTAAGGAATATGTCGGCCTTAGTCACTAACAAGACTACAAGATCGCCCCACTCATCCTACACTCATCTCCATTCATACTTGGTTTAAAATACCTACTTTGTATGGTCGCCATTTCATCAAAAAGTATTAAAGTATTAATACCAAATGCTGTTATGATTTGAGAAAAGTACTTATGAATAGTGATACCTAAAGTTTCCATAATACTACAATTATAACTATAGCACTGTATTTTTATACGACACTGTATGTTAGCTGAAAACAATAAAGTTCACCCTCTCTTAACCGTTCGTCACCGGACCTGACTAGGTCAAATAACCCAAAAGTAAGGTTGAAATGTATGTTAATAATACAAGGGTAAACTCAGCTGAATGTGTAGCAATGCTTAGTTTAGCTGTTTTTTTATAAAATACTTTACTCTTAACTAACTAAGAAAGTATTTAAAGTAATATTGTTGGTGGTATACTGTAGAAAGATAATCTGTTCCTAGTATGTTGTAATGTACTGCAGATCTTCACAGACATAATTCTATTTTATTGCTGCAATAAGGATGGAAACAGAAGTCTTTAGATCAGAAAAGGTTGGTTAAACCAATCAGTTCAGTTTTAAAATTCAAGGCAGATAAACTATCTCTATTTTTTACCGTTGAAAGTGGTTAATTTTACCTTTAACTTAACCCAAGATTAAGTAAGAGAGGGTTTACTGTGGAATATTGTGATGCCTATGAATAGCAGTACTAAATTTACATATTTGCCAAACATATTTACCTGCGAGAATGCTTGTATTAGCCATAATTCAACCACAAAAAAACGTAATGATATTAAAAGAACCATAATGTTAAAATTATCTAAAATGTATAATGTCCTTAGAACCAAATTTCACTATGGTACTGAAAGTTTATTATTCTAGAACAGTGGGGATTTATTATTATTGAGTATTGGTGTAGAGATTGGATAGTTTTCATGGACCAACTTCTTTGAAATGGAGATTTAAATCCATTTTATTAGAAGCAAACAATTCAAGATATAAAATTGTGATTGTCAGTTGAGGAGTAAGCTTCATCAGTTCATTTTGGCATTACAACTAAAAGTACAGTATATCGATATCAACCAACCTTTTGAAAATATCCTCTGGGTAATGTTATATCCTTAACTTGGCGGAAATAGACGTAACCGTAAAAATAGCCATTATCAACTTGTAAGTAGACTGGACACTTTTGATTATAAAGGAGATGTACAGGTAGAAGGTCTGGTCCTCCAGGAGTTTGTCTAATGCGGATGTGGAACTTAGTATCTCCCATGCAACTGGAGTTGGAGTCTGGGAATGCAAGGTAGCAGATGTTGGTCTTATCTTCCTCCTGAAGTTGGGCATCAACAGGATATATCACCTGAAACAAAATACTTGTTACAGGGTTCTTGTTTTAAATTTCTGAACCAGAAAAAATGTTGTGTATAGTTAGAGATGTAAAATACCTGGGTATTTATAGTTGCGAGTAACCCATTTTTCATAAATACCCAGGTGTTTATGATTACTTAGCTACACACCAAACACAATTATGCCTATATTTCTCTTAAAATAAAATTGGAAGGTGTGAATCATGTATATTTTACTCTAGTTTATCAAATTATTAGAAATTTGAATATATAATGTGAATTTGAATTATATGTGCAACAATTACTAAATTTTTCATATTTTTGGCCCAAATTCATACCAAAAGACTTTTAAAACTGTATCCGTATGTTGATGTATAATTATAGGGATAAGGGTTTGTTGAAAAAGCTTATTTTTAACAAAACATATTTAGTGGTACTACAGATACACCACCATAACTAAAGGCCACGGTCTATTATCAATTTGAGGCTTAGCCTAAGTATGATATACGTTTTATTAAATCTTTAGTCAGTAATTTTGTCAACACTTATTGTCTAGGCATTAAGACATTACTACTAGACATTACTACTGAATACAGTAGTATTTGTGTTGAAATGTGTGATTATGAAATGTCGCATGCTTTTTCAGTGACAATGAAACGCTTGAGAGCGTCAATTGATCTAGACCGGCTACTTGCCAAAGAGAACGGTGTCTCTCATCTAAAATGCTTATGGGACCTTTATTTTTTATTTTTTATTATTTATTTATTATTTCTATATACATAGATATATATTCATGTTCAGAAATGTATATACTACAGTATGAATATTTGTACCATTTATTGTAATAGCCTATAATAAAGTAAAAAAAATACAGAGAGCTTTAAGTGTATCATATAACTATATTATTAGATTTACTAATATAAAAAGTCTTGCCTTATTACAGTTATTTTATCTTCTTTCTGCGTTTCAAATAATTAGGGTACATTTATCGATATTTTCCAATTTTACAGCATATTTATTTCTTTACATGGGGTAAATTTTTATCCACAAAATAAAACATACTTCCATGTAGGGAAATAACATGTCTATATTTTTTATCTTGAATTTTTCATTTATAATTTTTTTTAGGAAAATAACAGGACTTTAATTTTGAAATTTCTTTTTGCAAATTTTAGTTTTTCAACTGTAGCAACAAATTTACCCTTAGGGATTTTTATTTATTTATTTTATTCAAAATCTCCTTTTTGTCTACAAAATGAGTATGTATAACTAGGTTATCCTAAGTAATTTAGACACTGCAAATAAAAAAAAACCTTGCGAAATCACAAAAATGACAGAAACATTAATCCAAACCATCAGGGCAGTTCTAGGGTTAAACTACCAGTAATTGAAATCTTATTTTATGGAAGTTGGTTTATTGGTGTGGTCGGTAAAATACCTAAGTACCCTAAAATTATACTTTTTTAATAGCCTAGTTTAGTCCATAGCCTCATTTATGCAGGTTTAAAACTTTTTAACGTCGTTGCATTGCTTTGGTTCTAGTTTAAAGGTTTGACTTTATTCTTTAAAAAATAATCATTGAACAATCTACAGTTAGAAAGAAACTAGAAAATGTCAAAGTTGTTGTGTTGTCCTACCTCAATTGCTTGTCCAAGTTCCAGATCAAACGTTACGATACAAATACAGTGTATCCAGTTTGAGAACCGGTCCCAAGGTGCTGGGTTGGTATCAGAAGATTGTTGTCCTCCTTCATTTTGGTTCTGTTTCCTTCTATCATAGGTTGAAGTCCCACTACATCCGCCGTGGTCTTCATTTACTGATCTCTCTTTTTTCTGTTCAGAAGCCATTGATCGACATCCATTGAATAACTACCTCCAACTATAAATGGAAATCAGAATAATTACATTATAAATCTAGACTACATTTATTAGAATAGGATATATGATTTATATTACCTATTGAAGAACCATAATTAACATTTCCTTTCAATATTGTTTGAAAACATTTAGTCTCCTTTTATACAAATATGAACATAGCTCTAAGTATACCAGCAACAAACTAAAGCTAATTAGGCTAATTTAAGTTTGGTGTGCTTAAGCTACGTTTCCATTTCTACAAATTTGTGCCGGGCACATCACAAATCTCCGAATTTGTAGAAATGGAAACAGCCTGGCACAAGTCGCGGCACAAATTTGTCCCAGTTGGAATGGAAACGGCCGGGCACATGTGCCTGCAACTCGGGCACGCGCAGGTCCTCCGAACTACCACATGCTCATAGATGCTAATAGGGATAGAGACCTTTAATTTGAGCCCTCTCCCCTCGTTCTACAACATCCCAGTCGCCCACAATTTTGATGCAAAGAATCGCCTTGCATAATTAATATATAGAGAAGGTCTTTTAGCCAAAAAAACTTCTTATCCACCATCTAGGCAGTTTTATTATTTTTCTTCTAAGTTCATTGTATGCACCAGCCATAAATAAAAAGCAGAGGATGTTATGTCATCCATGGCGATTTGTAGAACACAATATAATCAAAATCAGCCACCGAACCTCACCACATCACAATAAGAGAGAAAATACCTTGTCTGCCAGTTGTAGTCGCGGGACTTGTGCCTGGAATGGAAACGGCATGACAAACTACGTGCGACGTGTGCTGCGACATGGTCTCGACATGTGCCGCGACTTGTGCCAGCGACTTGTAGGAATGGAAACCTAGCTTTAGTAAACCATATACCTAATAAATTAATTAGCCTAATATGATGTGAAATACACCTCTAAATGGCAACAAAAAAGGGGTATAATTTAAGACATGATATTCAGTCCTAATCCATTTTTTTAGAAACTTCAACTTAATACATTTTGGAAAGCTGAAGTTTAATTTTCAAGAGACTACGGTATATCTGGATTGGATGCTTACAGCAAACTGTAGGCGTCACATACCACACAGTAGTAGAAGGCCTACGTTACTAGACTGGAAAACAGTTGTTTACCAAACAAGTGGGGTTTGTTGAGTGCTGGATTTCCATACAAGTTCAGTACACACATTTCGAACAAGTGACATATGATATTTTACGTTATAAAACCCTAATCTCAGGGCCTTAGAGTATAATTAGTTTTGAGGCACGATTATTACAAGACACACCAACTTAAGGACTTAACAAATTCGTGCCGGATTTAGGTTCGACCTTTTCCCGCCCTGGGCCCAATTAACCCGCATGGCCCCTTTCCCTTAAGTAGAATTACCCCACCGATCGCTGCGAAATCTTCATATCCCGCTATTATGGAGATATCATCAGCCGCCACCTGCAATTGCTGCAAAATCATGTTAATCTCCTGCGATCAAATAGCAGGATTTTTAGATGCAGAGAATCTGCTTCCCAAACTACGATCAGAGTTCAGAAAGAACCGTAGCACTTGTTTGCTGAACCATTGCTGAATATGTTTGCAGACTTGTATGGGACGAGGGACGGAGGCAGGTGTAGCTCTGTAGTCATGCTCGATTTTTCGCAGGCCTTTGATTCTACAAGCCATAGTTTACTGCTATCAAAATTGTAACATATAGATTTTCATTGCAACGTGAATGCTTGGTTTGGGTCTTACCTGGAAAACAGACTGCAAGTGACCAGTGTGGGTACCAATATCTCACCTCCTCTTGAGACATCAAGGGGAGTAGCTCAGGGGAGCTGTCGGGGGCTCATTTAGTTTACAATTTACACTGCAGATCTGTCCAGATGTGGGAGTCACTGCAATGTGCATTCAAATGCTAATGACTGCCTAGGCCTATTGCATTTCTCGTAACGAGATTCAAGCGACTGATCAAGCTTTTGCAGGGAGTGAACAATGATCTGATTAGAATAGGCGAGTGGTCACATAAATAAGGTTTGAAATTAAACGCTGAAAAATGCATGATTCTTCGTATTGCCCCACTACTCTTCACTGAGTTGCAAATGGAGACATGCACGTTCAACTCGAAGGAAACCCTTTAATGGTCAGGGATACTGTCAAGACGTCGGGTGTTGTACTTGACAGTGGCCTCACATTCTCGGGCCACATCACTTATGTTTCCCAGGTGGCTTTGGGAAGGCTGCATGGTCTATACCGGTAAAAAGAATCCTGCCAGAGACAGCCAAGCTGGAGCTGGTACAGTCACTAGTGTTGTCAGAGCTCCATTACTGTTTTCCTGCATACGGCAACATCATCACAAGGGAAAATATGTCCCGTTTGAAAAAAGTGCAGAACTCCGCAGTTTGGTTTGTTTACGGTATCCGTAAACATGAACGGGTATCCCCTTTCTGGGATGCTGCGGGGTTGCTGTTCTTGGATGCTGTGTGCAGGGTCCAATCTTGGCCACATCCACTGCATTGGTTCATCAAGAGCCCAAATACTTGGTGGAAAGGCTTGTGGCACGTGGGGAGGTGACTCAATGCGAGACCTGGCACGCTCGTTTATTCAAGGTATTTTTATTTTTTCTCTTTGTGCCATTTAGTTATACAGTATTATACTTTTGTAATTATTATATTTTTTTTACGTTAAGGATTGTATAATTACTATGTAAATACCACGAAATGTATTATGCCAGTTGGTAAATAAAATGTTATTTCATTTCATTTCATTTCATTGGCACATCGCCTTGTCTACCAAAAGTGCGCCTAGAAGTGGGTAGGAAAGGGTTTTCCTACTTTGGCCCAAAGATTTACAATGACCTCACCTTTGACCTAAAATGGCTGGGAATCCTGCCTATTAAAAGAAACATAAACTAGGTAATAATAATTGTATAAAAACTGTAAAATAATTGTACACATATTTTTATTTCATAACACAAACTGTCTGTTAATTATTTTCAATCTGCAATCGACACAAAATCATGATCATCTCCTGCAATTACAAGGACATCATCATTGTGACTTGCAAGAGTGTAGAAAATTATTAATATCACAAAAAAAATTTTTGTTCTAAAAACATTGTTTTTGTTTAAAACACTGCAGCTCCCTTTCGATAAATAGAGCACTATTTCACTACTCGCAACTTCACGGAGATCTTATGTTTTAGGCCTAGTTTATAACCACTCTCTTTTATTAGAATATTAGACTACTTAGTATCAAACTTTTGTTTGCTGTTTAGCCTATTGTTTGTCACCCACTAGGTATTTAAATTGTGCAAAAACAGTCTGGATGTAGGGTTGTATAAATTTACAACTTGGTTCACTATAACCTAAACTTTACTTCTTAAATGAAACCTAATATCAAAACATTACATACAGTCACAAATCCGCATAAAACCCGACCTACCTTCCCCAAATGGGGTACAGTTTCTTAACTGGGCTACGCTAATATCGATTGTAACTATCGATTCGATTAGTAAACCTTCATGCGATTTTTTCACCATCAGCAAGTTTGGTTGGTTAGGTTAGGTTATGATAGCTTCATTTTATAATAGATATAGGCTATATAAAAATATCGATTATTAATCAGTATTTTCAATTCGATAGTTTCAATCAATATTAGCATAGCCCAGTTAAGAACCTGTACCCCCCCAAATGCCTAAATAAGAGCTACTTGACAAGGGCCTAGGTTAATAATTATTGACCTACTTGCTACTTTGGTCCTAAGCTCAACTTTCATTTGGTTAACACAAATGTATGTATCGAGAAGTTTAAACTCAACTAACTTATATCAAAATGTATTTGTATAGGCCTAACTAACCTTGAGACGTGGTTGCATGAAACACTCAACAACAGGCAGACTTCTGACAATTGTATCTCAGCCCTAGGCCTATATGATGTATACATCTCTTATAAACCGTCACAGGATCAATTTAGTTTCATAAAAAGTTGATAGCATATATTTTTAGTCTAGGAAAAGGTAATCCAAAAAATGCAGCACATAATTAACATTTATATTGACGATAATATTGTTATATATCTAATCTAAACTTTCTCTAGGACTTCACTTAGGAATATAACCTTAAATCAAATTAAATCACAGTGTTGCCACCGCGTTGTTGCGATTTTACCCTAAAGGCGGGCTAAAATTACCCTAAATTACCCTAAATCTACTTTGAGTTACCCTAAAAATTACCCTAAATGTTAATATTTGTGTTTAATGCTATAAAACATTGTTAAAATCATATAAATCTTACATAAGGTGGTTAATTATACTAAATGAAGTTCCAATATCAATCAATTTACATAAAATTATACTTGATTCTAAAAAAACACCCGAAAGAAGAACAAAATGTCGATATTGATCAGCTCTATCGACTATCGTATAACGAAAAATATCGAATCAAGAACTATCGTATTTTTTTTACTGTATCGACCCATTACTACTGTTTTTGGACAATCATATCTTTAAAATACAGTACGGTACCACCAAAGCTTTAATCTATACCGGTACATATTTCTTGGCACAATTTGTAAAATAATCCAGTTTAATCCAATTCAATCACATAATTAAATATCAAACCCAGTAATGAATAATATTTCATATTTGATTAGGCCTATAACGTGTTATAGAATCTAATACATTCTAAAACAGATAATTCCCAACTATTGATAAGATCGATTAGGATAACTTTTATGAAAAATTCATAATAGCAATCGATTTAAACCGGTTGAATCGATTATGATGGTTTGGCCATACTATGTAATGAACGTTTTTTGCCAAATTTTGAAGTTTTTTTTAATTTTTTAGTAAAATTTCCATTGTAATTCTAACTTTTAGTTTTACCCTAAAATTACCCTAAATCTACCATTACCCTAAACTTTACCCTAAGACCAGTAAATTACCCTAAAAAAGGGTAATTACCCTAAAAGTGGCAACACTGTTAAATCAAATCACTCAGCCAGTTTCAGACATGCCATCACAAGCTAAGCTTATGTATTTTTTTCATCTAAACAATCAACCAAAACCAACAGTAGAGAGTATAAACAAAAAAATATCCTCTTTGGCAGTTGGGCATTGAGCAAAGTATGTTTATGAATTCCTTTAATGTATATTTAAATCAATATATACATAAAATGACAGTATAAGTATAAGTTTATGATTTAATGATTATAGCAAAGTTTAATTAAGTTTTGATTAAAGTATGAGCTTTTTTTAAGTTTAACACGCTATAGATCCTAAAAGAGTAGGGTTAGAGAGAAAATGCCAAGAGTAAAAAAGTCTTATAATTGCTTCTAGTAGAATCTAAAAAATACCCCCGCCGCAGCAAACCTGCAGACTAAGCGAATTTCCATTTGACTGATTGGATTTACACTGAAATGTGTACTTAAAAATATAACATTTATTACCGATTTAAATAGAATTAGTTTGAAGTTAGAAGTATAGAACAAGTACTTAGGTTTGCTGCATCAGGGAGGGTAAACTGTTTTTTTTTTGTAAAATGTTAGTAGTTAGTAAGAAATAAAAACATTTTCCAAATTTGATCAAAATATGTTAATAAACAAGCAAACTACAACGGTTTACTTATTCTCCATAAGAATAACATGGGAATTTTAAATTTACAATGTTTTTAAATTTTCTCCGTAACCATTAGGCGCATAATAACACTTCAACATACTTAATTATTTGTTTTTTTAAGCTCTACAAAATGGTTTGGAAAGAAATTGCTAAATTTTATGTTTTTGGGGTCAAAAAATGGGAAAACCCTATTTTTACCCCATAAAACCCCCCGTAAACCCCCGTTCCCATGGTCCGATCATGCTGGATCGCGAACTCGTTCGAATAAACGTAGGTTTACACGTTTGTACCAAATTTCATCAAAATCGGATCATTTTTGCTCGAGTTATCGTGCTAACGGATATATATATATATATATGAATTTGAACGGATGGTGTTTTTGGCCTCTAGGGACCTCAAAACGAAAAAAAATCGGTCCCGCGTCCAGGTCTTACCATGAGTACTACGGTAATAGCTTATTCCCTATATGGGAAATTCGCTAAAAACATAAAATAAATAAAGAATCATTAAATACATGTTCCGTAAGAGATTTTAAGGTTAACCGCCATGTTGGAAAACGACGGCCATTTTTGAAAATTTTGAATTCATAATTTTTATGTCATTAAAAACTAGTTGAAGTTCTCCGTTTAATGTTCTCTCTAAATTTAATAGTTTCTGAGATACCAATGATGGCACAGTTAAGTTGTTCGCCCTGTATATATACAATAGTACAATATGATTAAAAATAATAAATAAGTGCAAGAAAAATCTTGTTTACTATACAGTATAACTAACATTTTAGACGTGCCTAAAGGAATTGAATTGATAATGATGTTATGTGTACACTGTATGATGATAAATGATCTGATTGAGTGCTCAGGCGTCTCCTTCAATCGCAGCAAACAGATCATCTTGACTTAAAACACATTTTCCATTTCACACGTTGAAATACCAAAAGTCCATGGAATAAATTATCAGAGCGTGTAGTTTATTCAAGAGACCAGGTGGGGGGGGGGGCAAGACCCTCCTGTTGTCTTGCGGCACTGAAATGACTTACTTTGTTGAACCCTCTCTCGCTTCGCTTATTTAAATAGAGTGTGGAAAAATGTGTCTCGGTCATGTCATTGGAAACCAGCTACGTCATCCCTATATTTTCAAGGATCAATCATCCACCCATCACAGTTAATACAGTCTCCGGTTGCAAAGATCTTCAAATTAATATTCCTCAATTAATTGCTGAAAGTCTTTTCGGTTGTGTCAGTTACCGGAAACATGGTACCGGAACATGGATTCGGGTAGCCTCTACACTTTTATAAACCTTAGTACAGTATTTGAAGAATTCGCATTGTCAGATTTTTCCAAAACATCTCAACTTCTCAAGCCAACGCAACTTTCCATTTGATTGTAGCGAGGCCTTTGACAAAGACGAAAGTCACGTACACCTTTATTTGAGCTTGAATGTTTTTTTAATATGCGACCCGTTCCCCGTTACAACTGCAATGGCTTTAAAAGCTACCTTTCAGGAAGATACTCAATCGTAAAGACGGGTTGATGTAACCTGACCCCAATTTATTTAAATATTTCCCCGAGGATCATTTTAGGACCTTACCTCTGTTTGATCAATCTGTTTGTTATTACATGAGGTTATTGAGATGAGGTGCTACTCTTTGTAAACAAACATACAGTTGTTTGGTGATACCAATGACGATGACACTATTTAAAACGTTCCCTGGATCCAGCGTCTCAATTCTCAAAGTGGTGTGAATATAAACATGATGCAACTAAATTCTATATAAAATGCATGGTATTGCATTTTTATTTGACTGAAACTGTCGTTCATGCCGGCCAACAATAAAATCCGTTTGCTTTCAACATGTGCGGGTTGGCAAGGGTCTAGATTGTGATTGTACCTATATCATGGCGTGCTCAATCCATCTCATCTGTATCCTGATCAGCATATTGATGTAATTTTAGGGGAGCTAGTATGGCCTATAGGCCGCTTGGACTTTTATCACGTGCTGCTAGAAGCGAAACCTTTTTGCACTCAATAACTGCCTGCCCCTATTCTTGAATATGCCTTAGTGATACAGTGATATGGAAGCCTTTACTACCTCCGTCACATTGTCAGACTAGTGAGAGAATCCATCAGAAAACATTTGTACCACTTGTTAATTATTGCTTTAATTGTATCGCTGTTGCTATTTTTTTGTTACCACTTGTTATAATTTATAAGTTATATTTTACTGCTAGTTGCATTGTATTATTGCATCCACATTTTGTAATTTCTTGTATGTATTAGCAATTTGCTGTTGGAAGTCAAATTAATAAATCATATAAATATATTTTGGTTTGTTCTTCCGCCACTATGTGGTCATGGTATTGGTAAAATATGATTTGTAGGCAGGCCTCCGCCACGGCCACAAAAGGCGGCCGTGCCTCCGCATTCCACTAGGAGTTCACATCGGCCTTTTAACTAATCTGTTTCGACATTTTTCTTTCTATGTAAAGTGACAATTCGTTATGGATTTAAAAGCTATGGCACAAACCCATTGTTAACTGTAGCTGGCTGGAAACACAGTCAAACTACGACCTTCTCACCGCAGTATTTCACCTTCTTTTTTTTAGAACCTTTGGAACAGTTACACGGAACTGTTTGGGATAATGTTCAATGCAACTGTGACAAAAAGTATAGAATAGGTTTGGCGAAACCGTTATATTACAAATAGCTCCGTTCCTTCTCAACTTGATTATTTTTCCTGCATAAAAATTTAATTATTATGATATACCTTTTTTGCTCCTCCTCATAATAATAAAAAGTCTTTTATAGACATAACCTTTAAGTTAGTTAACTGGTTTCGTTTATTTAATTATTCTTACATTACATCACGAAAACCGGCTTATTCTTAAAAGATAATGATATATAGTAGCATAGGCCTACTAAGTAAAACTATTCAAAGAAATTGCACAGTTTTGTTAAATTTGCTAACAATGAGAAAGGTTATAAGGTATAAGGTATTGTTGATGGAGCAGGAGTCATAATGAAAAAGTGCACAAATTAAAATCAAAAGTTTTATTATTATATTTATAGTTATATTTATGGATACTGTATTGCGAAGTTCATAATTATAATAAATTTAACTTACCTTCTTCTGTTTCGAAATTCAGCTCCCCAACTATTATTTCAATGCCATGGGCTTCTTCCAGATGCTGGATCAAGTTTTCAAACCACGAAAATTTATGAGAGCAATCACCCTCTGGGCAAATAAGCCTTTTCGGGTTGTTTGAAGTCAGATTGTTCACTAGGCCTACCTACAACAACTATCATGCACATTACGTGTATGGCGCGTTAAATTAAATTTACTAGCAAAGTGTTTGTCACAAATTGAACATTCAAACTTTTTTATATTAATATCAGACATACTGATCCCGAACTCTTTAACTTGAAATTACACCATCGATTTAAGAGAAAGTTTCCAATCACTAGACAAAATGGAGGTTGAAGACAGAGATCCACGAAAAACAAAATGAGCACCTAAAAAGGAAATGGAATGGAACTCTTTGTTTGTAATGTGACGGTTTTAACAAATCTATTCCAAACAGTTCCGTGTAACTGTTCCAAAAGTTCAAAAAAAGGAAGGTGAAATACTGCGGTGAGAAGGTCGTGTCAAACTTGTTGACAGCTAGAAAAAAGTGGAGAAAAAGAAGACGGGCTGGGAGGGAAATAGAAATATACTAACTCAGCAGTTTCCATCTCCCAAAAATTACAATTGTGATTACAGTGATAACAACGTTCAAATATTCACCATCCTGTACCTATCACCCGATAACATTTCTCATCCCTCTGAGGTCGTAGGCCTACTTACTTAATTTCATCCTGATAAAGTTATATCTTTTGATTTTTGAATCATGTGTGATGAAGAAATCGCTAAAGGTAAGTTGGAAGTAGCTTAGGCTTATTTACAGTAGTTACTTCTATTGGATGGATTTTGGAGGAATGTCAAGCTTTACAGAACAGTTATACTCAATAATATGGCAAGCTATTTTATGATAAATAGGTAGCCTATGTTAATTTGTATCTTGTGACTGTTCTGTAGGCATATCGTAGGCTAAATCTGTTATAAGCCTAGGCCTTGTTCGAAATGCTTGTTTCCTTGTTGATCTTGTACTACATACAGGTAACCGATTTTTAATGCTCATTTCACTCTAATTAGTTTCTGTGAGATAAATTGTGGTTGACAATACTTTAAGGATCAATTAAAAAACCCTTCAACAGGGATCACTGGGCCATAACCATAACCCAAAAGCTTGAAGGCAGCACAAACATAACTTAAGCCTAGTACACGGTGATCCCACATTCATGTCATTCATGCCCACAAATACTCACTGTGTATTTGTCTAGATTTTACAGGAGTTCAAATTAAAATCTAAGTGAATCATTTTTGAGTTTTCTTGAGCTTAAGTTTAACTATGAATAGGCCTAGGGGCCTGTGAAATCCACACCTCAGATTGGAGTAGCCTACCTCACAGAGTATGTACAACCACAGAAAACATACTACTATAACCCAGAATGCCAACCGCATGGTAAAAAGCATTTAAGCGTTTTGAGAGAGCTTTGCCTGTCAATCCGTAGGCAGCGCCACCAGCGTTGCCATGCACTCAGCATAGAAATGCTGGTGGCGCTGCCTATGAATTGACAGTCAAAGCTCTCTCAAAACGCTTAATGCTTTTTACCATGAGGTTGGCATTCTGGGTTATAGTAGTATGTTTTCTGTGGTACAACTCATTGATCTAAAATATTTTGTGGTTGGTGTATGGCTCTGGGGAGTGGGAATTGTTGGCAGGGATTTTCCCCTAATCCTTGTATTTCCTCTACTTTTGGAGTAAGACAGTCCAAACCTAGTATTCTCAAAAGGTAGGGGAAATACAAGAATTAGGACAAAAACCCTGCCCAAAAATTTCCTCTCCCCAGAGCCATACACCTAAATATTTTGGTCAAAGTAAATCAGTACCGGTAATCATTATTGTATTTTATAAAGTCTCAAAAACATTTCTACTAGGGATTTCTCGATTTCTGTAAAGACTAAAGTGCATTATTTTTTACAATGGAAACAGTCTGAATCATTCTCCCATCTACGAATATGTAGCTGTGATCTGACCCCATTAAGGTTTTCTGCGCAGGTAACTTGCATTACTGCACCTCTTCTAGGGGGTTTCCCCTAGATGTATTTAAACCAACAAAAATCTCTCAGTTCATTTGTTTAAAACTTACAATATTATGTTTTTTTTATTCTTTATTCAACTTATTTATTTCCCAACGACATGTAGCCACTTTACAACAAGAAACAGATTGGTTATTCTACAGATCTAAGTTTTAGCAATTATGAAAAATAATAAATAAGTTAATTTAACAATGATAAATAATTAGGTAAGTTTATCAATACTCATACAGTTAACCCAAATCAAAATAACATCACCCCTAATGACTTGCCATTCCTTAATGATTTTTAGACTTTTAAAACCTAATGTAAAAGTATTTTACTTATAAGTGTTTTTCATATTATTTTTTTTTTTTTGCCTCCTACATTGCTCGTCCTTAAAATTGTCTGATTTATTTTATGAGTACCTACTTAGGTTTGCTGCTACAGAGAAGGTAATGTGGCTTTGTTTTTATTAAAATGTTGATAGCTTTAGTATGAATTAAACATAATTGCCAAATTTGATTGAAATATAGCCATAAACAAGCATATTTAATAAAATAAACCTATAGCCTATTTGTTCTCCATAAGAATAACAACATTTGTTCTCCATGATAATTTTTAATTTATGTTTCAATATACTTTTTTCCCTTTTTTATGGTCTACAATGCGGTTTGGAAAGAAATTGAAAAAAATTATGTTTGTAGGGTTGAAAAGGGGAAAAACAAATGTTTACCCTTTAAATCTCCCATAAACCCCCGTTCCTATAGTCCCATCATGCTAGGTCACAAACTTGTTCGAATAAACTTAGGTTTACAACATTTCACCACAATGCACCTTGCATTCAAAACTAGATGACTTTCTTTCAATTAATGTTCAATCAATTAATGATGCTTCCTAATTGAAGTCAACTTTAGATACAATACCAGGGGTTGGACACCTCCCTAATGAAAAATATTAATGTTTAATTGTTAATTTTGTCACTAGACGAAGGGAGTAGAGATGAGAATGCTAATAAGACAAAACAAAATGAAAAACCAAAAACAACAAGGAAGAAAAAGAGAAATCGACCTGTATTGAATGCTGAGAGGTAAGCACAAACTGCAGACTAAAACGAATATAACTTGTATGGGCTACATTTATAAGTTGTATACTCTGTTATCTACTTACCCATTAAATCTCTATAAAGGTTGCAACTTCTCAAGATATACAAAACTTATAAACTTAAAATTGCCATAGGAGTTATAAATCAGCTCTAAACAATTATTAAAGAGACGGCTGCACTTTACTTAAGTTCCTACACTCATTTGAATGAAAATATCGATCGATATATCAATTAATAGGTATATCAATTAATCGATTGTTTCATTCGATATATCGTTTGGTTAGTTAGGTAAGGTTAACCTAACCTAAATAACTAAACGATATATTGAATGAAACAATCGAATAATTGATATTTTCATTCGAATGAGTGTAGGACCTAAAGTAAAGTGCAGCCAAAGAGACATTTCTAGACAATTAGCTTTGAATTTGGCAAGTGTTGAGTAAAAGATGACTGAAAATTTTAACTGTTTACTTCCCAGGTAACACGTAAGCTTACGGCAAGCCTTGTCAAAGGCTTGTCTGGAAAGGCCTTTTTATATCAACTTGTGCCAGACTTGTGGCACGCTTGTGAAGAAGGCTTACGGGGAACAGCTTGGGGCCAATTCGTGGAAGGTGTATCACGACAAGCAACGTAGTTGTAATTTTCATCCATCGCAGCGCTAGCGGCGCTAGTCAGTCTACTACACAACAACAAAACAACCGCCATTTTATTTGTGTTTGTTTGGCCGTCTGGCGTCTGCGCTTGTTCTTTCTTGTTTTCGGTTAAGTGTTTATTTTTCCTTAAGTTTTGAGTTTATATTTCGCGTTAAGTTTAAATTTTTAAGTTTATAAAGTTTGTATACAGCCCTAAGTAAATTTATAAGTGCTTTTGGTTAATTAGTAGTTTTCCTCGGTGATAACTTTGAAACCTACTGCGATTTTCAGGTGAGTAGAATAACCTAGATTTAGCAGTAAGTTAATCAGTAATTTTAAATAAGTTAAAGCAGCCAACTTAACTTAAGTTTATAAGTTATTAATATAATGATTTAAGCATCAACCGTTTGATTTAGAGCCTGGGCCTAGTCTAGACATAACTCACAAAAGTCTTACCGGTACCTAGCTAAAAGGCCTGCCCTAGGCTATTTGATTTATGATTTATGTACATCAGATGTACATTTATCACATCTTATACCTTCTTAACTTTTTTAAAATCTGTTTTCACTTGATCACTTGAAAAATTGGCAGTCAATTTAGTGTTTGTTAAAAACTTTTCCAGGAAATGTTTTAATAATGATTCATTATTGGTAGCCCAATAAACCTGAGGGCTGATATAAATTTTAGGCCTACTTTATTTTTTTTTTTTAACTGCAGCACATTTTATTCTGTCACAAAGTGTCAAAACACCTAGTAATTTGCTATTGGGAATGTTCATGTTCATTTGTTATGTTAGGGTCCCATAATAACTTAAGCTACTTAGCTAACCTAACTCATGTGTTAATTAGCACCTCGACTGTAGGCTGCTAGCCTTGATAGACTCTACTAAGTCAATCAAAAGGACTAGGCTAAACATAGGCCTACCCTCCCTGGGTACTTACAGTTTCACATAGAGCCGTCTGCAATAAGTTTTTGGATGAGTAAGGATAAAAGTTAACTTAGGCCTAAGTTACTTATTATCAAAATGATGCGTATTCTTTTCTCGCACAATAGACTTTGCCCTCGTGGCAAGCTTAGCACTTTTCGGACGAAATAAGTAAATACAGTGGAACCTTGATAACAAGTAACAAGACCCTCGATAACAAGTCACCCTTGATAACAAGTCTCATTTTTAAATCCCCTAGAATTTATTTTACCCCTAATCACATGTTATTGCAAACCTCGATAATAAGACAACCTTGATAACAAGTCTTATTTTATAATCCCCTTGAGAGCCTTTTTATCAAGGTTCTCCTGTAATTCTTACTTAGCCTATAATTTTTTTCGGAACATTCCAAAAAATTTTCTAGCATCGAAACGCTTAAACGTCACTTTGCTTTAGATCAAGTTATGTAGGCCTAAAGATTATTGTCTCCCGCGGTCACATAAAAATCCTGAATACCCCCTACAGTAACGGAACATCATTATCGCCTTTCTCCATTTGTGGAAAATCTTGACATTAGGTAGGGCTACATATATTATAAAAATAGGCTATGTGCCGGAGCGAGCTTTTGTATACAGTTTGTAGATATATTATGTTGATCAAATTTAGCAACTTTATTTAGTCTATTTCACCTTAATATTAACATTTGCTCAAAAAAACATATTTTTGCATTCCCCATAGTAGAAAACCTAAGTACTAGCATAGACAAAAAGAATTAAATATAAAAAGACCGTCAGCTGTGCTGCAGTTACCATAGGTTCTGGCGAACACCGCTGGGAGCGCTATGCAGTTACGGCCTACGCACTACGTAACTACATGGCGCTCCCATCATTGTGTGCCAGAACCTATGGTAACCACTGCACGGCTGACAGTCTATATTTAATTCTTTTTGTCTATGTTACTAGTTAGATCTAACTTTATTCAAAATATGCTTTATGGAAATCTTTAAGCATAAATCCAGTTTAAGACGAATTGATAGTCTGCAGGTTTGCTGCTTCAGGTGTATTTTTGCTCTGGTACTTTACTCATTTTGTATGTTTAGTGCACCTTTTTCTGATTTATAGATGCTGTCAGGAGAAAACATTGAGAAACATCGGCTGAGAATATGAAGAAGGAACTCAATCAAGAAGTGGCTGCAGCAAGCCACACCCAGATTGATGAAGAGGTATTTTTTCCTATTTCAATTTACGGTACCGTACTTATTTCTTTGTGATAAGAAATTATTATGAGTAAAGGGCGTTTATAAAAAAACTCCTCATTTACTAGCACCCGTCACCATAGCAACATTTTCCGTAAGGCATTGCAGCTCTAGATTTTTTCAAATTTTATGTGCCACAGTGTTGCCAACAAATGCTGACCAAAAATTTACAATTGGTTGGTACAATGAGTTGAACTGTTATTAAGGAATTAACTTCATATTTCCAATCTGTTAAGATATGTATTTGAAAACCCCAAGAGTTCTATTGACACCCTGTATTTAGGTTGCCATTGGAAACTGTACAAAGTTCTTCTGTTAGTTTGGATATTGTACTTAGTAAAAATGCCATTTAGATTATTCTAACTCTATTAAAAACATTAGCCATACCTATAAAACATTAATAGAACCAGTTAAATTCAGGGTTTATTTAACCTTTTTACCTCACATTTGCCTGTCCACATGGGCCTCAGGTTTGTGCATGGAAAGTTTATTTCAGCACTAGTCTAGTCAATTAGATTTGAATTTCAGTTATATATTGAGTTAAGACCCCACTGAGTGTGAAAAAAAAACCACATGTAGCCTATATGTAGAGTGGTATTGTATGCAACAATTGTTTTTTACCTTTAATGTCTCATTTCTTGCGAAATCGGCATCGTAGACTATCTTGAACGCGCGGCCAAGTCAGTTTACCGAGTAAGATAGAGAAGTGCGGCCGCGCAAAGCTCATTTCGGTGGCAAAATTCCAAGCTGACTATTCTCCATGACTGAGCATTTCGCTTCTTAGGCCCGGTTCACACGAGCAACTTATCTAGCTAACTAGGCTGTAACTAGGTAAGCCCGAATGGGTAGCGGACCAAAGGATACACCGGTTCACACGAGCGACATGTCAACGGACTAGGTCGTAGGTGTGTTGTAAATGAATGCGCATCGATAAACGATGTTTTTAATACATCGATGTTTTCAATACATCAATATTTTCGATACGTTGACATATTTCTGGAAATATTTGATGTTTTTGCGTCAATGGTAAGTGAATTTTTTTTTTTACATTGATGTTTTGGACAATAACGATGTTTTAAACAATTATCGAATCATTTCAAAACTAAATTTGCATTGGAATCACCCAACAAACTATCATTTAAACTATTATAAAGTTTGGTTGAAAAAACATCATTGTTTAGAGTGTATAGGGTCAATATAAAATTATATTATAAACCTATTAATCGGTTACAAATTTATATTTAGTTTATTCCTATATTTGGACTTGTAATACTAATAATAGGCCTATAAAGATAATTGTTCCAAAGAAACGGTTGTTGCTTCATTGATTCAATACAAATATCGATATCAATGTTACTCGGATCCATCACTGGCGACAATGAGAACAAAGGGAAGAATGCGAGCTGCAGCGTGACGACCGATCGCTCGTGTGAACGCTCCCATAGGGGCCATACTGCTAAGCCGCTAGAGCGGGCGACTGGGTTGCTGCCATGAGTGACTTGGAAGCGGGGCCCGACAATAGTTTGGGACACCAAGCTCGAACGCGGCTCGCTAGTCGTCGCCCTACGCTTGTGTGAACGGTTCCATTTAATCCTGTAGTCCTCTACCCAGTCGGGCTTACCTAGTCACAGCCTAGTCAGCTAGATAAGTCGCTTGTGTGAACCGGGCCTAAAATGGTAGTATTCATTAGTCTTAGACCGTCTCTAATATTAACATCACCCATTCCTGTCTCAAATTTCCCAGTCATCTGTTTTATTAGTTAATGATACTAGATCTAGTATAAATTAATGATATTCTATTTTTTTCTATATTTTAATATCATCAGCTGATTGGTTAATTATTTATTGTTTTCTGTTGTGAGTCAGTTGTCCAATTTATTGTTTTGTTTTAGCGTTTGTACTTTTTACAATGTTCAAATATATTTCTAAAACGTTTAAAATTTATTGAATTTTTACTTGAACTCCTTTAAAAAGTCAAACATAGGTACTTTTAAAATGTTTTGAAGCTAACCCCTGAAAGCTATAACATCTAATAAAGGTTTAAACCTATAGTACCGGTATGAAGTTTTTCAAGTGTCATGGAAAAAGGTATAGTGATATAGACTTTATAAACTGTAAAAAGCCTCTATTTTCTCATTTCAGTCCGACCAAAATTAAATTTATTTGGAAACCTA